TGTATTTGCATATGTAATTCCTCAGAAGATTCTCTGAATATTACTATCCAGTTCCAGATCTTAGTAAAGTTAACGAATCCTAAATAAAACGACATGAGAGTTCTGGATTACACTGTTACCCATAATCCGACTTAAATTAACAAACTGAAATTTATACCCAATACACAAGCCAGAATCTATCTTGACTCAGAAGTAGGAGGATATCGCTTTGGTTATTGAAGCAAAAGGTACTAAGTTTGAATCTCAGTAAAATCTTCAACACAAGAATGATGATGCATCCAGCTGACGAGTTCCAAACAGAACAAGCAGTACATTCTGGAACCCTTTTCTTGACACTATCCAACCTAAATCAAAACTCCTGAGTAACTGAATTTGTTTGAACAAAATATTGTTGTTTTTTGTAGGACGAAATAAAATTGACAAGTATCTTCAATTTTTCCTTGAATTGTGCAAATCTTAGTTTGTACCGTTTGAAGAACCAGTTTTCCTTATGTTATATTACAAACCGCATGACTTTGTTGCATATATATTAGTGTGGAGCCATGATGACTAACTAAATGAAAAGAAATTTTCCCTCTCTATTCGTATTTCGTTTATCATTTCAGTTGGCTTTTACTTTTAAATACTTAAAACAGATACGTCTTTGTAAAATATCAAATAGACAATGAACAAACAATTAATACTATCCAAGCATCCTTTACATCTAAGAAAAACAATATCATTCATCCAGCTACTGTACATTATACTTCAAAATAATATGATTTCATAAAATAAACATAATCATATTTAAACACTAACAACCTGTTCACTACTAGTCATATTTTAAAATGAATAGATAAATCAACACAAACGTGTAAACATTTACTCATCACTTAAATTCTCAAAGTGATAATAATTGCTGAATTAGTAACACTGAACACTAAGAATCATAAACACAAGTTAAAGTTTAATCGAATCAACTCTACGGAACTTGTCTGTTTCTGTTATAACTTGTGACCTGTGTGCCCTGTTAATGTATAACTTAATGATACCGCCAATTATAGAACAGTGAATGATCGATCGGACTAATGACGAACAAAAACCCGTACGAGCAGTCTAGAGTCCTTATCGGTCCTGCGTACCGCCTAACCCAGCCTGATAAGTTTAGAACACCAATCTCAACCTCTGCAATATGAATCGTTTATTTCAAACATACTGGGTTTATATACCAACCAAAAAAACCACATCATACCATAAAATAGGAAACAGAATTTGCACAAGATTTGGCCAAACGTGTCTGTGAATGTGGGAGATAGTAATTGATAGACTGGACATAACTCAAGAATGGTAAATCGTATAATAATAGTCTATGAGTCAAAATAAAGCTTATGATAAGAGGAGAACGAATATGAATAGTTTATTTATTTAAAAATTATACGATAAAAATATACCTATAGTATTAGACCAGAAATAGATTTCAACAGTTACCATTCATTATTCTCATCGAGATATAACAGTTTCAAGCTGACTATTATCTATTACGAACTGATTTCAGTAAGTATCACCAGTACGTCGTTTCAACTAATATAGACTGTTAGAGTATGAGGCAAAATTGTAAGTGTAATTTACTACTCACTGTTGATTAGTTAAAATCTCACTTTCAATACATTATGTAATGGCCAATTAAAAAGAAAAAAAAGGTTTTTTAAGCCCCTGATTCTTAATCCATCATATATAACTGATTATGTGATCACGTCACAAAATAATTCATAATTATGCAGAAAAAAGAAACGAATATCTATTCACATAGACGAAACACAATAATGAACAAATCTCAAGCAAATCACATAACCGAATGTTAATATTTTAGATTTCTAACTATTTTACTTCAAGATAGATTGGCCAGAGTTCTAGTGAAATATCATGTTCAACGAAATCCATCCAGTTTTAAGGTACGTGATTATCTACCAATGAAATTAAATAAAGGTCATGTTATATTTGACTGAACTTGAAAAAGATCAAACTTTTAATATTGACTCATTAGTTTGTATACAATGATTTGAGCTTTAATAACTTACTGATTACTTTCAGGTTAATAAATGTAAAGTGATGAATATTGAGGATTCTTAAACCTGAAGTTAACTGGTGTTCAATGATCCCAGATTTCTAATGGTTTCAGAAGTGATCTTTTTCAACGATGGAAACCATATTTCACAGAAGTAAAGGATTTGAATGTTCAACTATACATACGTGTATGGTCACATATATATTCGAACCCTTAGTTACGTGTCTTTTTGCACTTGAATATTGGGACGAAAGCAAGTGGAAGGTAGAAATTTATTCATTCAGATAATCATATTGCTTATGTTATCTTGGTATTATTGGTATGATCATTACATACTGGGAGGTATTAATCAACTTATTTGCTGTAATGACAAGCACTCAGGATAAATATCATTCATTTTTAGCTGAACCGCTAAAAGTTCAGTAGTTTAGATCCGTTTAAAGACACTTAAGTTGGGATGTTAAGTAGTTACAACCAGTCGGTAGGGAACCCTATATCTACCTAGAGTTTGTGCTAGCTGGGACTACTCAGCAAGATGTACTGACAACCCTGAAAGAACTTATCCTTTCTGGTAGATTTCATTTCGGGTTGGTTAGTTCTCACAGTCTGAGACATAAACAATAATTATTTGTGACTGACCTCCCGTAAGACGGAAGATTTACATCAACTGATTACTGAGTAACAGTCAATCCATTATTTCCTTAGTCTTTAGTAGTGACCGAATTTTATTGATCAAACCGAACAATCTGATATCAAAACATACTGCATGTGGTATTGAGACACATATACCAGTGTCTACATTGAAACATAATTAATAGAATTCAGCTACCACAACAAAATTAAGTTTGAAAAATGCTGGATATTTTGACTGATTTTAACACAATATGTGCAACTTACAGCTTATTGCTTATGCATGAAATTCATCACCAATTTGCGCACTACTAGGGAGTCCTATACTAGGACGAAACTGCCGTTCAATGTCTCCAGGATTCCAATGGTGGTCTAGCCTAGATCAACTGGTGAATTCAACTGTAAAAGTACTAAATTCTCCACAACTCCCCCTATTGAAAACCATATACATATACATGCCTCAGTCTCTCTCTGTCTTTTCACATAGTCATGGAGCCATACTATGAGTTTCAGATAATACTTGAGAACAGTTGCTTCATAATGTCTCATTCTCTGAAATCCAAGATTTAATTCGATTCTTCAGCTTAAAATATATTTATTTTTCAAAGTTAGATATGAGATTGTAATGGAAGAATTGTCATGTTATCGTGAATTGATAAAATATTGAGGTTAAATAAAATTCCAAGTCTAGATAAGTAATAACAAGACAGCTGTTGCATATTTACTCTTTAAATTTGTCAACAAACATTTCATTTTGATTTCAATCTTTTTTGAGATAATTTGCAATATGGTTTCATGAATTCAACTGTTTAACACTGAATAAAATCCACTTGGAATTGATGTGACATAATCTTAGTTATTAACTTGATGAACAAAATATTGTGATATTTATCAGTTGATTTAAACAGTAGGTTTAAATTAAAATATTCTTGAAGAAGTGGACTCTCTGGTCATTTCATTCCGTTTCACTAGTTTGTCCAAAACTGTTTTGTTTAAATCTTCTAATTGTTATTTAATAAGTACGAAACAATTATGATAGTCAAATCTTAAATTGAATAACTTGCGAATGATCTATAAAACTTGTATCTTACAACAGACTACGATTTAAATAACTTCGAATCGTATTTATATTTGTATTTAGGGTTTTTTAATTAAACAAGTTATCTGACTACAAAAGAACACCTCTCTTGGAAGTCAGTTGTTGTTTTTTATCGCATATCAGTTTCGTTAATAATTTGGTTTCGTGATCATAGTATATCGTGTACTATCTAATAATTTATTGACCACTTAAACAGCTTAAATGTGATTACAACCAACTTAGATCTACTAAATAGTACTAAAATAGATCTCCTCTGGTATCGATACACTTTTTATTTCATCATTATGTAATCTTTCAAATATGAAACTAACGAATTCAAACAAGAAAAAGCACACTAAAAAAGTGCAGTAGCTAATAAATATTATCAATCAAATATATGCTGTAAAATCAAGTAACAAACAGGCTGAAAATAATCAATAAACAGGATTTCGTATGTTAAACAATGTAAAACAATAATGTATGCAACTAATCAACGTGTGCAGGTAATTTTTTCAACAAGTGATATGATTTAACAAGTTATAAAATAACCTATGGTTGTAAAATGTAGTTCAAGGAAATAGTAATAACATAAAAAATTATGTATAAACCGTTAACTCCAATTTTATTTACTCTTACCTCCCAAATGTACTATTTGAAATCACTACATTCATCATGCCAGATAATCTCGTAATAATTAGTACGTTCCTTAAATACAATTGTACTTAACCCCAGCAGTAGCGCATCTAAGGTTACTGACCGCTCCAAGCCCGGATAAGGAAGGAAGGTTAGATATGGGGTCAGCAATCGCACTCCGTAGAACACGACCTAGTCAAAAAACAATAACCAGAAAATATCGTTTAAACCATTCAAGTTCATTATCATGAAGCTCAAATTAAGTCACCAAGACCACTGTCTCAGAAGTAGTCATTAGTGATCATAGCTGTCCAATGCATTTTCCATTAGAAATGGAGGTTTTAGGGTTCGATCCCTAGTGCAAACAAGGTTGTGACCTCATGCAACGTTCCATGCTAGAACTATACAGGTCTCCACCACATCCCAGTTTTCATAGATTTACCAATTACATGTAATACACTACACAGAACATTAAAATATCAGTCTCTTGAAATTAAACGAAAGTTTCTTTATCAAATTTACCTAGTTACAGTTATTGTAGGATTGTAAATGATTAGTGGAGGAATGTAAACAAATGTTTTATATTTAATTTTTGGTTATTTATATATGTGTATGTTAGTGTTCAGAAAGTTTACTGGAAAATGAAAATAATATGTGTTTGACTGATATTGATGATGATGATGATGATGATGATGATGATGATGATGATGATGATGATGATGATGATGATGATGATGATGATGATGATGATGATGATGATGATGATGATGATGATGATGATGATGATGATGATGATGATGATGATGATGATGATGATGATGATGATGATGATGATGATGATGATGATGATGATGATGATGATGATGATGATGATGATGATGATGATGATGATGATGATGATGATGATGATGATGATGATGATGATGATGATGATGATGATGATGATGATGATGATGATGATGATGATGATGATGATGATGATGATGATGATGATGATGATGATTGATGATGATGATGATGATGATGATGATGATGATGATGATGATGATGATGATGATGATGATGATGATGATGATGATGATGATGATGATGATGATGATGATGATGATGATGATGATGATGATGATGATGATGATGATGATGATGATGATGATGATGATGATGATGATGATGATGATGATGATAATGATGGTAAAGTGTTTGGATTACAGTAGTAGCTTGTCACACTTCTTCAAAAATCAGTTCTCCAATATTCAATCAATTCATTTCACATCATGCCCAAAATCATACACTTCTACTATCGGAAATCTAATCACATTGTACACAGATCTCCAATTCCACTGAGTTGTCGGTAAGTAGAACATGTTTTGATGTTGTGATGAATCCATGATCATTGTTAATCGACCCCAACAACTTTATCACCGTGAATAATTTACAGTAGAATGAAATGTTTTCTGGTTTATGAACACCTGACAGACTGAGATTCTAAATATTTGTGGAATTTTAGAAATGCATGAATCAAATGAGAAACAGTGTATTTTTGAGAGTAACTTTGTTAACATGGTGACAGATATTTATAGCGGCGTAATTAATTATATAGATTGATAGGTTTCATTCATCTTGAACGTTCGTAATGAGATTAGCTTTAGTTAAATTCATCATGTATTTTTCGACAATACATTTAAAAGTAAAAGGAAGTGTCTCGATTATTCTAATTATAAACTGATAATATTTAATGTATCACTGAGAACGAGAAAGTAATACTGACCTAAAAACTTTACATTCACACTTTTAAAGACTGTAAAAGCCTAACAACTAACAATAATCTTTGCACAGTCATTGAGTTGAATTTTAATTATTCATATATTTAAACTTAGCCAACTGACATTAAAACCTGGATTCATTTATTTCGAAGCAACATGAAACGCAAATCATTCAACTTTCCACTTACTGAATATCAAAAACTTTTATCCCTATTAACACATTCTCCTTTCAGTTGAATTTTCAACAGGATACCTTAAAATTGATTGATTAGTAAATTTCACATAAAGTGAAATACTAAAAATTATCTACATTAAAAATATACAACTTCGATGCATTGTACATTGTCTAATTCATCATTAACGTACAATATGGATTGACTACTATCTATTATTAGCATAAAAAAATATTCTGTTCTAACAGTAAAAGATTACATTAAAACATTCTACTCAAGTATATCCAGAAAAAAGAAAAATGTTATATTTAAACTGTAAAGAGAAAAACAACAACAACAACAGAACAACCACTTCCATCTATGTGCAGATAACTGTAATCAGTATACACAAAGTAAAACCTACATTGAATAATGATTTATACACTTGTAAATTGTTGTCTTGTCAGTTAAAAACACGTAACATTTTATTACAACAAAAGAAAGAAAGAAAAAAAAGAGAACAATATCTACTATATTGGTCAACTAATTGATTATTCACTACAAATATTGAACATAAACACATGTGTTTACATCAAAATTATTTTCCTTTATTTCAATGGTATATTCATGTTTATTGAAAATAAAATGCAAAAATTGAAAATCTGAATAAATTTCAGTCACGAAATTCTTCAATAAAGCAACAAATAAAAAGAATTGAAATATAAAACTACACAGAAACAAATGACTATTCTATAGAGGAAGAAAGGGAGAAAGAGAAGGAAAAAGAAAAAAACAAAAGAGATATTCAACAATATAAACACGGTTAAAACTCAATTATTCACATTAATGCACTCACGCACACAACAACATACACAAACACACTCATGCTAATTGTTTAATAGGGTTTCATTCAATTGAATTTAAAATAGACAATCATGAAAACAATTCAAACATAGCGCTTATTTTTTTAACTGTGTATAGAAAATAAATAAAATCAAAAAAAAAGAAAAGAAAAGAAAAGAAAAAAGAAGGCAAATAAACAAACAAACAAAATATATCCCGTATCTCTTTAATAACTCGATAAACAAGAAGTGATACAAGATTTGTATTTAAAACTGATATACTATATAGGTTGAATGTATTAAAGAAACTAGTATAATTGATAGGGTCTCTAACATCAAATAGGAAATAATATATTGATATTACTTAATTGTGTTTATTGATATTAATGCTTTGCATAATAAACTAAAGTATAGAAAAAACTTTGAGATTCATTGATAAAGTTGATTTTGGAAAGTTATTGTATTCGGGAAAATTTTGACTTTACATTCCTTGGAGCCGTAGGAGTACCTTCAACTTCACATTTTAATTTCAGGTTGTTGCCAATGAAGCTCGGTGGGAAAATGTTATGTACAAGCGTTTGTCTGATTCTACTCAATCCATCATTCATCGATTAGTATATTCAATAATACTTGAAAATGTTTGATTATTTGTGATAATTTATTTAACCACGATACACTCCTATACTCTACCACAAATTAACACATGCAAAATCAAATATTAATGCATTTGTACAGTCGAAGTGAGTAGCATCGTCGAAGAGAAAACTTACTCAATTTATCTATATACCACAGCCAATTTAATACAACAACTTATTATAGTCACATTCGATAACTTTACAAAGTGGTTGCACCACTCGACTTTCACTCATTAGGTTGTAATTTCAAGCAGCAATCAGCTCAACTCTATGTAAAATACCAAATAGTATTGTAGTGAACGATGACTTAGGTTTGTGTGTGTGGGGTGTGCAAGGGATGAAACCAATTGAATGTGTTGAGTGAAATTACCTGATGATTTCGTAAATTATGAAAGTCATACATTACATGCATTATTTGCACATCTTCGTTCAGTTGTTCCATACACGTTTTATGATTCTTCCAATTCAGCCATTATTCCATTTTCTCTCTGTTTCCATTCCTGTTTTCATCAATTGAATTTTGTGTTGGTAGACATTCCACTTCTGTTGGTTGTCGCATACTACTTATATCTGTCGGCATACACCACAATTTTACAAGACAATTTTGTCTGATTTCCTTTATCACTTTTAATTTTATAGCTGATGACATTCTGATAACACCTATAAAACAATCCATTATTATTTAATAGTATAACCTTTCAGCAAAATAATTTTTACTCTACGCTGAGTGAACTTAATTATCATTTGATTACCAGAACCCATGAGTATAATACATGTTTAACACTACATGATATTCATAGCTACTCTATCCAACGAAATCATGATAATTATAATCTATATACTACTCACAAAAGGAAGATGCTATAATTTCGAATAATAATAATAATAATAAAGTAATTTACAAATAATAAACTACCAAAAACTTTATTTGGATTGATTGTCAGTGGTAAAACAATTTACAGTTTAATTCATTCATATTTCTGCTATTTTTGTTTTCATCACTTCCTTTCAATGTATAACTCTACATATTAAAAATGGACAATTATTATCACATTATCAGATTTATAGTTTCATTTAAGGAATGAATATAATAATTACAAAATTATAGACATTTTTTCATATGATATTGACTATTTATTGTATGAACCGTGAATACTGGGTAGAGTTATTGATTTATACATGTAGGGGTGAAAATATTATTGTATATTAATTCATTAGTAAAGTTATACTAACAACAAAGTCTTTGGGAAGAGAATAAAAAGCACGGAATTTAAAGACTGAAAACTAATTAATCTAAATAATAATCGCTTTATTTATTATAATTGACTATGAGTAGGGATGAAATAAAAAGTGAACATGATGGGAATAGATAGTTTTTAAAAGAAGAATTTCTATCCGAAACCGTTAAAACTAACTACTTCCAGGATTGTGACTTAACAAATACATACTCATGAGTAAAATTTGGTTGGAATACGTGTTGAACATTAAACTTAAGCAGTAAATGAATGCGTACTCCTGAATAGTCCCAAATTAGGACATAAGGGTCAGTCACCGCTTTTACATTTTTAATGGTAGTTTAGTTAAAATCATTTCATGATTTAAAGTCTATATAAATGATATCATCTGCTTATTTATCAGGTTAGTCAATACTATATATGCACCAGGTTAGTAAGTCTGTGTAACATTGTTCACAATACCTAAGAAGCTATTAACTCACTTACTATATATATTCCTAAATCTACCTGAAAACTACTATTTTAGTGTACTTCAAGCAGAGACATGATAAACTTAACAAATTCAAGGTAGCTCTCAACAATAAGGAGATCTGGGCAAATGTGAAAACTACAAAGGCATAGCACTACTATCAGTACCAGGAATGTTTTCAACAGAGTGTTGCTGAACCGGAATAATGACTCAGGTGACGCCCAACTTTGAGATCATCAGGCTGGATTCTGTAAGGATCGATCGTGCACAGATCAAATTGCGACACTACGGGGTTCATAGTTAAACAATCATTTGAATGGAAGTCGTCACTATACATAAACTTTCTTGATTATAAAAAAACATTTGACAGTGTGAACACGAGGACATTATGGAACTTCCTTCGACACTATGGTGTACCTGAGAAAATCGTCAACACCATCCGGAATTCATATGATGGACTACGCTGTGAAGTTGTGTATAGAGGACAGCTGACAGATGTATTAGAAGTTAGGACCGGAGTCAGACAAGGCTGCTTACACTCCCCCTTCCTCTCTCTTCCGGTTGTTGACTGAATTATGAAGACCTCCATGTCTGACGGAAGCACGAAATACAATGAACAGCTAGCATGCAACTAGACGATTTGAACTTCGCAGATAACCTAGCTCTTCTATCCCATACACACTAACAGATGCAGATCAAGACAGCCAGTGTCGTAGCAGCCTATGCATCCGTAGGCCTCAACATAAACAAGGGATAAAGCAAGGTCCTGAAATAAAACACAGAGTACATAAACCAAATCACGCTTTAGGATGATTTTTACATATCAGCAGCATTATCGATGAACACGGAAGATGTGATGCAGATGAAAAGGTATAGATCTGCAAAGCAAGAGCAGTGCATCTACAACTGAAGAGCATGTGGAACAGCTTTCAACCAATATCAAAGCCATAATTTTCAATACAAACGTTAAGATATTTCTACTGCACGGAGCTGAAACTTCGAGAACTACTACAACCATAATCAAAATGGTACAAGGATGTATAGACAATTTTCTACACAAACCACTCAGTGTCAGTCGGTAAGATACCATCAGTAACAGCCTACTGTGTGAGTGAACATACCAGCTTCCAAATGAAGAAGAAATCAGGGAAGGACGTTGGAGTTGGATAGGACATGCATTACGGAAATCACCAAACTGCATCACGAGGCAAACCTTAACTTGGAGTCCTGAAGTGGAAAGGAAAAGAGGAAGATCACGGAACAAATTGAGTCGGGAATGGGAAGCAGACATCAGAGGAATCAATAGCATTTGGAAACAACTGAAGAGTATTACCCAGAACACAGTTCGATGGAGAATTCTGATGAGCAGCCTATTCTCCCTCACGAAGAGTAACCGGAGTAAGTAAGCAAGTAAACAAAGACCAACTCCTTCCCGATGGTATATTTGTCTGCCTAAACAGGAATCAAACAAGACTAATCTGAACTACTTCAGCAACTATTCTAAATTCTAATCGATCACTTCACCCACAAAATCAATAAGGTATTAGATCTTTCGTTCAGCTGTCTAGAACACAAAAAGCTTACAAATCAATCTTGCGAGATCTCTTGATGAGTTAAATGACCCGAAGTCAGTGACATTGACTGACTTGTTTTGAGGCTTTGTAATCATAGTCTCGAAAACATTCCTCAATTAGTTTTCAACTGTTAACCAACTTGAGTATATTGAATTCGCTAAAGAAATTTCACATTAGTTCGGGTAGTTTATTCGATCATGAAGATCTGCCCATATTGGTTGCCTAATATCATTATTTTTCTATTTTCTTATGTGACGATAATGCGAAGTTTTAGTAATAAATAGTATTAGAAACTTTAAGGGATTTTTCAGTGTATCCCGAAAAAGTACTCGAACAATCTTGGTGATTGAGTGATAATTCGGTCAAAGACATAAAATTATATTGCAAACACTTGTTTTTTGGTGTAAAGATGTGTCAAGTCTTGAGAATAAAAGTACAGAACTACAAGTGCTATTCACTAACTAGTACATTGTCAATTATATTCAAGTCAAAGAAAGAATATTCCAAAGAGCTTCAAACTTCAGTTAATTAGTTAAGTGGTATTACTTGTCAATCTGTCTGTATGATAAATAACTGAAGTCTACAAAATAATCACGATATGTCAATCCACGTCATACGTCCAAAGTTTGAGGTAAGTTTCATAAAGAGGAAATAATCCCATGAAACCGAAATTACCTTTTCTGGCTTCAAATAGAATAGTGAATGTATGATCACAATTTTAAATGTGAAAACGATGTAATACACTGCTAATATTATTGATCTTTTTATCATCATGCTCAGCCGACACAATATTGAATGAATGTCTGCTGAACTTGAATCATATGACGAATAAATCATGATAGCTTATGAACAACTAATATGATTTATTGATGATAACTTTTATAACAGTAAGTTCAATAAAAGGAAACTGAAAGTACATACTACATATTACTTCTGTCACCTTCACATTGACAAATGCTATCATGCTATCTATCTGGTCAGTTACTTATGTAATAAAAGTTGTTTTGCTTAATAAATCGGATATTATTTATGCGATCTGAAATAGAAAATCTCATTTATCCTTACAGCTATTTTTTTTCCAGCTGAATCATTGTAAATACATAGTAAGAACTGATTAGGCCAAACTCTACATTTAAGAATCTATTAATAATATAGATGAACGGACGAATGAGTAAATGAATGAATAAATGAATGCATGTAGATAAATAACTAAATAGATTGTCTCTCCCACTTGAAAAAATCACCCTTTTTATTCTATATCACACTCAATAAATTTATAGATAAGTTGATTGACCCAACTTACTACCGGATTGTTTTTACTTTATTTTCCAAACTGCACACTAGTCAAAATAACATAATAGGAATCTATAGACCAGCTAATTTCCAAATAGTAAGCAGTTCAGACGCATACTGTAATTATTAATCACAGTCTGTTGATATTATACAAAAATCTTGAAAATGATCCCATTCTTATTCAATATATAACTACTTTTTATGACTAGGTTATATTCTCAAGTGAGAAACTAAGAATTCAACACTGTATTTTATCATTTCATTTAAATTATCAGACTGACAAATAAATCATTTAAAGCCTAAATGGATTATTAACATCATCTATCACTGTGATTCTATTTGATGTAAGTTTATCTCTTGAAGAAAGTATAAATATTCACAATGTTTCAACTACGGATTGTT